AGACCCTAAAAACAACCTTCACAACAGTAACGCCGCCTTCACTTCGAAATGAACTGACAGGATTAACGCAGACGTGAGAAATATAACTGCTCTATAGTGCATCATGTGTGTTTTACTGCCTGTGTGATGATGAAAAACACTGACGTCATCGCATTAAAAGTCTGAAAACCCTGCGCTGGAAACACTCTTCTTCATCTCAGTGTGAATAAATAACACCCTCAGCGGCCGGATAAAACGAAGATGATGGATAAAATGACTTATTCCAGAATAATAGCGCAGCAAGAGTTAAAAACAAGAAGTGAAGTCCGGTGTTTTCCTCACGTCAGCTTCGGTCCGCACTGAAAACAGAGCAGAGAGCATCAAAACCCCTGCAGCATCTGAACGTGCACAGAAAAACTGATGATTTCTGAAGGATCATGTGGCTGGAGTAATGATGCTAAAAAATCAGATTTGAAATCATAGAAATAGATCATGTTTTACAATATATGCTAATAGAAACCAGATATATTAAACAGTAAAAACATTACTATTAAAAGTAATATTAGTGATAATAATAAAGCTGAAACTGTTAGAATTATTACAAGTTTATTCATATTTATTCGCCCGCCTGTGAATTTCTTCTTCAAATATTCCCCAAATGATGTTGAACAGATTCAGGAGTTGTTCACAGTGTTTCATCTAATGTTTGTCCTTCTGGAGAAAGTCTTATTTGTTTTATTTTGGCTAGAATAAAAGCAGTTTTTAATTGTTTAAACACCATTTTAAGATCAATATTATTCGCCCCTTCAGCAATATTAGTGTTGGATTGTCTCCAGAACAAACCACTGTTATACAATGACTTGTCTAGTTTGATGTCATACCTTTGAGGCACATTATCAGTGGTTTGAGGTGCTGGTTTCATCTCTCAGATCTCTTCATTGAAAACTGAACACACAGACACACCCACAGACACACACACACACACACACACACAAACACACTAAGGCCGTACTCACACTAGGTACAGTTGCCTCGAACCAGGCCAAAGCACGCTTGTCCCCCCTCCCGTCTCCCCTGACAGCCCGCACTCACACCACAAATGGGCCTCGGCACGCTTACGTCATCGCTGCTGCGCTGTTCAGTGAGAAGCGCTCTCTCACTCAGCAGCACAGTGGAGATTTCTCTAGTTATATCGTGTCAGTGGTTTGATATGCAGTGACATGCAGTCAAATATTTCGCCAAACAGTCCTTAGGGATGCGATGACACGCAGTCAGATATTTCGCCGAACAGATCCGCCACTTTTGGCGCTCATAAACAATCATAAAGCTCTCGTGCTGCAGGAATGAGGAGGTCTGCTGAAGGTGCAGCTGTGGTGCAGTGAGGGGTTTGCGTCTTTAATAAACTACGGCAGTTTGCGTTCACTGAACACTAGGGCTGGGCGATTTTTCCGATTTTTTTGATTAATTCGAATTTACGTTTTATGACTATAATTTTGAATGAAATCGAGAAATCGCGATTTAAAAAAAAATAAAAAATTTAATACATTATAATGGCACCAATGCGCTTGGTTCACTCTCTGTATGAAGCAGGAAGCACACCAGAAGCGCCTCTCGGCGACGCGCCGCACAGCACCACGCAGCGCCATGGATTTTAGAATTCTAAACAGAATTGAAAGTTTCTATACACACACCGGCGCCGCCCAGCCACGATTCATGAAGCAGTTCATATTTCAGCCGGCCCACAGAGCGCCATCTGATTAGTTTCATGTTAAATATCATGTGAATGTGCGCGTCTGGTGTGTGATAGTTTAAACTGTCATGTGCGCGCCGTGTCGCGGCGCTTCTGGTGTGCGACCTGCTTGACTGCCTGTTAAAGCGTGAAGTCATGTAAGATTTTACTTGTTGCACGTCTGTGTGGATTGTCAAGACATATTCCCTCATCAAGTCGATAAACTCGATCTCAACATGTATGAAGGACGTAAAAGCCTGCCATGTGAAAAACCGCGCTGATCTTTTGGTTTGAACACGAGTAGAGGTGAGGGACTGTAGCAGTGAAAATGAAAGTAGCCGCCCCCATGACGTCATTTAGCAGACCTAGTTGAAAACCAGACAGATCAGACAGCATAATACAGAGAGTGGAGCAAAGCGCATCAAATGATCGATATTTAAAACGGGGAAAAAAAGAAAAATAGATTAAATATATTATTTTATATTAGACACACATCTGGTGCTTCTATTTGCTCCTGCTTTACGTCCACAACTTCACACATTGGGTTAAATTAGGCTTTACAGTTTCCATGTTCAGTGCTTTACTTTCACTGTATCTTTTTAAGAAAAAGGCAGCAGCTTTACAACCTGACATTCAATCAGAAGAAGACAAAGCTGAACTGACAGACAATCTTTCCTAGACTCAGCAAAACTTGCAAAAAATGCCTCTGTATTCCTGCAACTGCAATATTCACACAAATATTTCTTATTCAAATCTTCAGCAACGATATTTAACTCGTGAATTTGTTTTACATTTATTTACATCTTGACCGATTTTTGTATGACATGGCCATTAAAAATACAATGTTCCTTAACTAGATGGGTTTTCAAGTTACTTTTAAAGAGAATGTTACTTCAGTCATGTTGTTGTAATGTTTTAAGAAGACTAGTAACACAAAAAAAAAAAAAAAAAAAAAAAAAAAAAAAAAAAAAATCGAAATCGTGAATCAGTCAAACTTTATAAAAAACCTAGATTTTTTTATTTTTTTGCTAAATCGCCCAGCCCTACTGAACAGTAAGAATGATTAATAAATCCATATGAAACAGCCCCTTAAAAGACACGTCTCGCTTTCAGTTTCGGGCACGTTTTGCACTCACAGAAAGCCCAAGTGAACCGCACTCAAGCCCACCTCTTCCAACCGGGCCAGGGCCGGCCAAGTGAACCGTGCTTGAGCCCAATTCAGCGCACTCACACTTCTCAAACGATCCGGGAAACTGGCCTGGGCACGGTACGGATGGCATAGTGTGAGTAGGCCCTCAGTTATCATAAGCATTGCAAATATGTTGATAACTAAAGCGTGTCATAAAAGAAATTATATCAGGAAGGCTTTTAATGATTTGCTGGATTAATATGTTTTCCTTTCACTGCTAGTGTGTGTATGATGTGCTCACTATATACTGTAAGGTGTTATTGAGTGCTTTAAAAGGTGTCTATAAATAAAAGGTATTGTTATTACTATTATTATATCAATAGCTGTATTAAAAACGTAACTCATGTTAACCCGTTTAACAGTCGGGATGTTGATAAATAAAACATTTCTAACTTAACTTGATAAACTATATATTCATTCGTTCACTTTCTTTTTCAGCTTAGTCCCTTTATTAATTCAGAGTTGCCACAGTGGAATGAATCACCAACTTATCCAGGATATGTTTTACGCAGCGGATGCCCTTCCATCTGCAACCCATTACTGGGAAACACACATACACACTCAATCAGTCATACACTACAGCCAATCATGCTTACCCAATTCCCCTATAGCGCATGTGTTTGGACTGTCAGGGAAACCGGAGTACCCGGAGGAAACCCACACCAACACGAGGAGAACATGCAAACTCCACACAGAAACGCCAACTGAGCCATCCAAGGCTTGAACCTGTGACCTTTTTGGTGTGAGGGGAATGTGCTACCCACTGTGTCACCATATAAACTTTATATAAAATGCAATAATGTTATACAGGTAAACCTGTTTCATGAATTATTAGCCATATTTCTGCTGTATGATTGTCTCGTGGATTAATCCATATTGAGGAAAAATGTCCAGTGCTAATCACTGTTGTGGACAACTTTCATGGTGGCTCAATATAATATACACTCACTGGCCCCTTTATTAGGTACATCTGTCCAATTGCTCGTCAATGCAAATTTTTAATCAGCCAATCACATGGCAGCAGCTCACTGCATTTAGGCATGTAGACATGGTCAAGAGGATCTGCTGCAGGTCAAACTGAGCATCAGAATAGGGAAGAAAGGGGATTTAAGAGATTTTGAACGTGGCATGGTTGTTGCTGCCAGACGGGCTGCTCTGAAATATCCAGTGAGCGGCAGTTCTGTGGGCGCAAATGCCTTGTTGATGAGGCCAGAGGTCAGAGGAGAATGGCCAGACTGGTTCCAGCTGATAGAAAGGCAACAGTAACTCAAATAAGCACTCGCTACAACCGAGCTCTGCAGAAGAGCATCTCTAAACACACAACACGGCCAACCTTGAGGCGGATGGGCTACAGCAGCAGAAGAGCACACCGGGTGCCGCTCCTGTCAGCTAAGAACAGGAAACTGAGGCTACAATTCACACAGACTCACCAAAACTGGACAATAGAAGATTGGAGAAACGTTGCTGCTCTGATGAGTCTCCATTTCTGCTGACACATTCAGATGCTCGGCTCACAATTTGGCCTCAACAACATGAAAGCATGGATCATCCTGCCTTGTATCAGCGGTTCAGGCTGGTGGTGGTGGTGTAATGGTGTGGGGGAGATTTTCTTTGGGTCCATTAGTACCAATTGAGCATCAACGCCACAGCCTACCTGAGTACTGCTGCTGACCATGTCCATCCTTTTATGAGCACAGTGTCTCCACGGTGAGTTCAGTGACGATGAGTTCACTGTACTCAAGTGGCCTCCACAGTCACCAGAGCTCAATCCAATAGAGCAGCTTTGGGATGTGGTGGAACGGGAGATTGGCATCATGGATGTGCAGCCGACAAATCTGCAGCAACTGTGTGATGCTGTCATGACAATATGGAGCAAAATCTCTGAGGAATATTTCCAGTAGCTTGTTGAATCTCTGCCATGAAGGTTTAAAGCAGATCTGAAGACAAAAGGGGTCCAACCTGATACTAGTAAGGTGTACCTAATAAAGTGGCCGGTGAGTGTATATATTAAGAAAAAACTTAGTCCTAAAAATCAGCCCTCCTATTCAATTTAAATTCTTTAAATAAATCCCAAATGCTGTTTACTGGAGATATTTTCCAAAACTGTTCTAAATCATGATAGTGTTAATAACTCATCTCTAATAGCTGATTTATTTTCTCTTCATCATGATGACAGTAAATAATATTAGTCTAGATATTCTTCAAGACACTAGTATTCAGCTTAAAGTGACATTTAAAGGCTTCACTAGGGTAATTAGGGTAAAGTTAGGATAATTAGGCAAGACATTGTATAACAGTGGTTTGTTCTGGAGACAATCCAACACTAATATTGCTGAAGGGGCGAATAATATTGATTTTAAAATGGCTTTAAAACAATTAAAAATGCTTTTATTCTAGCCAAAATAAAACAAATAAGACTTTCTCCAGAAGGACAAATATTAGAGGAAATACTGAACAATTCCTGAATCTGGGGAATATTGGAAAATAATAATAAATTCTCAGTGTATTTATGTTTGAGTTTTACTGCAGACGTCAACCTTATTCCCCTATAAGGGCTCACCTGCATCTCTGTGCCGCTCCTCTATTTCTCTTTCTCTCTCCTGCTGCAGAGAGTTGATGTACTCCTGGCTCAGGGTCTCGTCTGCGTCCCCGATGAGGTAGATGTTTTTAAAGCGGTGATACAGCATGGAGGCTTTAAACATGATGGCCTCGCTGCCACGAAACCAGCGCATCTGCACACACAAACACACACTGATGACGTTTACACCTGCTACTGGCATGCATTTGGGTTGATTGAATCACAAGTAGATGTTTGTAGAGGACATCTGATGCCTATTTTATCCACTTCTCATGTGTTTGTTTTTATATATATGAATATATATATATATATATATTAAATAGATATTGCAGAAGAACAGGGTGTCACGGTGGCTTAGTGGGTAGCAAAATTGCCTCACAGCAAGAAGGTCGCTGGTTCGAGTCCCTGGTTCAGTTGACATTTCTGTGTGGAGTTTGCATGTTCTCCCGTGTTGGCGTTGGTTACCTTCGAGGTTTCCGGTTTCCCCCACAGTCCAAACACATGCGCTATAAATGAATTGGGTAAGCCAAATTGGCCATAGTGTATGGGTGTGAATGAGTGTGTGTGGGTGTTTCCCAGTGATGGGCTGCAACTGGAAGGGCATCAGCTGCATAAAACATATGCTGGATAAGTCGGCGGTTCATTCTGCTGTGGTGACCCCACATAATAAATTGACTAAGCATTACTTTGCTACAGCAATCTGCATTTAAACTTAGATGTTTTTAGAGGCTAAATTCAAATCAAATACCACCAAACATCCCATAATACTTTAGAATTTCATGTCTATTTTACAAATATTGTCAAAAGTATGTATACAAAAAAAGTGGTTTATATTCCTCAAAACACAGGGGGCGCTCTTGTATGGTCATCAATGTAAACTGTGTCACCTGATGGTCATGTTCGGTATTGCGGCCAAATAAATCTTACAGAAAGCTCATTTTGGAGATATTTTTGTGGGATAATGACGTCAAATTTAAAATATAATTTGTTCCGATATATTACCTTTGATTTTATGTCAATTTTAGGCTAAAACAGCTTTTGTAAAATACATATCTTGTGTCATATATTAAAACCTACATTTGCCGTTTTAATTTTTTCACAGACAAAGGCCTCCATTTTTTGGGTCCATGCGCAGAGCGCAAAGCGCGGGGCGCAAACGCTTTCAGGGCGTGTCAGAACGCATTTTTGCTAATTTAAGGACGGGGAAACCTGCTTTGCGCCGTGGCACATGGTCTAAAAGGGTAGAGTTAATTTTCTTAATGAGTTATAGGTGTGTTTTGAGAATAAACCAATCAGAGTCTCATCTCCCATTCCCTTTAAGAGCCAGCTGCGTCACGCCAAGAGCGCATTCACTATTTACAGGACGTAAAGTAAGTCTAAGTGGAAAAACTGAGCATTTCAAGAAGTGCATGTGCGCACGTTTCTTTTTCTCAGATGGTCGTAGTAAGTTATTGTTCTTTAATATATCGTGACGCTGTTGACAGAAGAATAAAGCACAAGATGTGGGATGCCACCTGTGTCAGCCTTGATTGATTTTTCTGCTGCTACACGAATTAGGCGAGCTCTCTTGTATTTTTTAACTCAACGAGATACACGACGTCTTTCGTGTATATGCACATATATTTGGAATATGCATCGCTCTCATATCTTTTGCGAGTTCGCAGGAAAAGCTGCCTATAGAGAGACATGCACAGTCGCACACACATAAAGACACGCACGCGCTGGTTTGACTGATGAATATGTATTTGTAGGTAAATCGTTAGCAGTGCCGAACAGCATTTCCCATTGTTTACATTGTTGCAACATACCGTTAACACTAGACACTGTATATGTCATGATCAATTTTAACAAATAAAAACTCACAGGCTACAGCGTCTGCCTGCAGGAGCTGCTCCTTCTTTGAGGAGATTTTAACTGAATCCAGCACTGAACTGGGAGAGAATCTGGAAGCTGTTTTGTCAAATCATGCTTGCTGTGTATTTTATAATTCTCTGGAACATAATTAATATTGAACTGTAAGCACATCTGTCTTTGTGTCGTGTCATTTGGAAGCCCAAATACAAAAACAGAAGGAGCTCTGGGGAAATAGCAGTGTTTGGACGGAATTTTAGCTCTCTCTGCTGTAACGTTACAGCGCCTCTGGCCACGCCCCTTAGCTGCGCAGTGTGTGTGCGCGGTAAAAGTACTTTTGTGATCTCACAGGCTCGGTAGTATTTTTTGTAGTCCCCAAAAATCGTTCATTGTAGGCTTTGCTAAGCTAACTCTGTAAAAACACATTAACTACAGTTTAACATATGATATCGTGGTGGACCACCCCTTTAAGCCTGTTACACTCTCCCTGATGCATGTACCTTTCTGAGCGTGTCGATGAGCTCGCTGTGGTTCTGGATGTTTCGTGATGAGACGGGGACGTTGCTCAGCTCATCCAGCGCAGATAAACACTTACTGACATCCTGAAAGAGACAAACAAATGTCAACGAAAGAGCGGTGAGAGTCATGCTATTGTCATTAATATGATAATTACATTTAGATCAGCAAATTGAATCAAAGACAAGAAACATGTACTGTTAATTTAAAGCTGGACTCCACCTATTTTCCTGACTTTTTTCAAACTAGAGGTGACGGGGGTTTTGTGGCCTTTTCATTATTGTCAATAATAAAAAATAAATAACTAAGTCATATATGTGACACAGCCCATATATACAGTATAGATGATATTAAATGTGCTCATACCGGATTTTCTAGCGTCATTGATATCCTGATGTCACCATGGAGACGATACAGCAGAGAATCTGTGACGGAGAGAGAATGAGCTGAACACACAAACAGAGAGAGTTAGTGATCCACACATGTACATACAGAGGAAGAGTTTAAGTGTGTGTTCCTAGTATTCATAATGTTGTGGGGACCAAATGTCTCAATTATAGCACTACAAGTAATTTTTGACCTTGCCTCTGCCAAAACTCATTACCTGAGGACAAGCAATACATTCAAAAGAATATTAGATAGAGACAAGATGAATTAAATATCACATTTAACAACTATAGTGAGGTGAGATTCAGTGGTAGATCCTTGATGAACTGTCTGACCTGTGCTGCTCTCACCTGTGGAGCTGCGATCAAAGCACCCGCTGACTGCCTGGAGCTCAGAGTTCCACATACAGTACGCTGCAGCGCATGCCAGAGTGTTTGTGTGCGTGTTTGAGGTCATGTGATGTGTGTTTTCAGCGGTGTAGTGTGGACAGAGAGCCGTTCAGAAACACTAGGTGAAATGCCAGTTAGGACGAGGATCATTTTTGCTTTAAAAACGTCATTTTAAAACTAAAACGTATTAGTGTAAACAGTACAGTTAGCCCACGGTTCAATACATACCTCGGGTTTTCGGTTCAATTCTCAGGGCTTGACACATTTTTTTTTATTCTATAGGCAATAGGAACAGTAAGAGGTTAAGGAGAAAATAATAAAACTGATTTATTGCAATACTCATTTTGTTTTACTTAAAAGCCAAGAAAAGTACAGTAGTTCCTGGTGTATTGTGTATAAAAATGAACAGTGAAATCTCACAGCTGCTGGTCGCCCATGTACAAACTGGGCAACACATAAAATCCTCCACTTTGAAAATAAACACACATGTGGAGTTAATAAAGATCAATTGGCCATTTCAAATCAACATATTTGTACTTCAGTAAACATAAATAAACCATCTTCATTATCTCGGTGCTGAAACAATGCCAGACTGTAGTCTGTAACGCGGATCGAGTGCTTTTATAAGATGACAGAAGCCCACATCTCCAATCACCCAAAACAGCTGCAAATCTTCAGCAATAATCACCCGCACTGCCTTTCTTATTTTATGTGTCTCTCGGAGCCAGTTGGGTTTGTTTGCTGGAAAGATTCAGTGAGGGATTGTTGCTGTTTGGAGGACTTTATTACCTTCTCTACTCTCCTGCCTTCAGACAGGGATATTGTTGGGTGATGCGCTGCAGATGTGCAGTCATGGTTATACGTGTAAATCAATGCTCACACACAGTTATTTTTTGTTCACCGTTTTTTCTTTTATTGGCATTATACTTTCTGGCAAAACCGAAATGTCCTCACACTGCAGATTTGAAAGACACCGGCGCTTTCTCGTACTGTTGCCTCACTTCGCCGGCGCTTCCTTGTTCTGTTGCCCTAACCTCACTTCACCGCCACTCGCCATGTTAAAGTGTGGAATGATGGTCAAGCGCCCCCTAACTTTAGAGCATAGTGATTGGATATTTACTCGTGGGGAGGAGTTTCCTCATCTCAGCTCATGGATTTAGAGGCACACACAGTCAATTCGGGGAGATTTAAAACGCACAAAGTATTTAAACGCAAAACCGAGAAAACCGCAATTCACAAGCGCGTATTGAACCGTGGAGGTCGTACCGTACGGTTCAATATTATATTGAGAACCGCGGCATCCCTAGTAAACAGGGCCTACAGCTGTGGAGAGTGTGTGTAAATGTGTGTGTGTGTGTGTGTGTGTGTTCGTGCAAGAGTGTATGCGTCTCACCTCTGCGCTCTTCTTCTTTACTGCTACTAATCTGCTGCCTGTAGAATCAAACACACACACACACACACACACTTACTTTTATTATACTATAATGATAACCAGGATAACAGTAACTCATTTGATCATTATAATTACTTTTATAATGGTAATAAACACTATAAAAATTACTAGACAATAACAGCTGTAAAGAAGGATCTGAATGAGTGCCAGAAACTGATAATGTGCACTTAAAGAGCGTAATTCTCTCAAAAAAAGGTAAACTAATTGCTCACACTCAACCCTTTAAGCATTTCTCTCTTCTGTTGAACACTGAAGAAGAAATACAGGAGAATGGTGGATTCAGTAAACATTGACAGCCATGGTAGAATAAAAAGAAAATATGGAACATTCTTCAAAATATCTTCTTTTCTCTTCAACAGAATAAACAAAAACTCAAACAAATGGAAGCCCATTTTCACCAGGTGAGGAATAAAAAGCCTTGCCATTAAACTATGCCATAAAACTCGGTCCTGGGGGGCCGGTATCCTGCATATTTTAGTTCCAACCCTAATTGAACACACTCCGCGGCGCGCCCAGCCACGATTCGGGACACTTCATAATTCTGCCGCGCCACAGAGCGCCATCTAAATACTTTCATTTTATTTACATGTGCAAACGCTGAGATCCGGATTCGCTTGTAGTCTCCTCTTAATAAAGACGCGGCTCTAGTTGCTGGTGATTGTCCTGTCTCTACAGATTTGGTAAGTGAGTGACCAGTGCTCTTTGTTTAATCAGTTTGTTCGTATCTAACAAACTATTGCACCGAGTGTAAACATGTTAGCACCACAACCAAACTTTAACCTCGTGTAGGGTTTTTACCGCATTTAGTGACCGGAATAACACATGCGGCTTTCTGACACTACCTGCCGTGTTCATCTAAGTTTCCGGGAAATGCTGAGTTTTTTTTTCTCTCATTCGCCGTGCGGTATCAAACATTGCATGAAAAATACACACTTAGAGCAGCTCCTCCAATCAAATATCTCGTTTGTCACGAGGAACATGAATGAATTCCCTGAATGAAAGAGCCAAACTGCAGTTAAAGTCCACCATTTAATAATTTGGCAAATAATTCGACTACAGATGTCCATGTAAACACCATGTCCATCACTTTGTCCCCTGTGTGTGTGTGTGTGTGTGTGTTTTGACTCTGAAACTCAGTGCGCTCAAATAGACACTCCCACACCAAGCCTTATTTCTTCTTCCGACACTCCCCCTAAACAGAGCTGGACACGCCCACTTTTCTGACTTTTTCCAAAGTAAAGGTGTGAAAACACCCTGCTGAAACGAGGTGCTTTCATGGCCCTTTAAAGGGGCGTGTCCAGGGCGTGTAAGTGGGCGTGTCCAGCTCTGTTTAGGGGGGAGTGTCGGAGGAACTAAAGTGGGATGGTGTGGGAGTGTCTATTTATGCACGCGCGAGTTTCAGTCAAAATACACACCCACACAGACAGGAGAAAGTGATGGTGTTTAACCTACATGGACATCTGTAGTCGAATTATTTGCCAAATTATTAAATGTTGGACTTATTAAATGTTTGGCTCTTTCATTCAGGGAATTCATTCATGCCTCTTGTGACAAACGAGATATTTGATTGGAGGAGCTGCTCTAAGCGTGTATTTTTCATACAATGTTTGATACCGCACGGCGAATGAGAGAAAAAAAAACTGAGCATTTCCCGGAAACTTAGATGTTCTCGGCAGGTAGTGTCAGAAAGCCGCGTGTGTTATTCCGGTCACAAAATGCGGTGCTATGTTTGCACTCAGTGCAATAGTTAACTTAATTCGATACGAACACACTGAATAAACAAAGAGCACTGGTCGTTCACTTACCAAATCTGTAGAGACAGGACAACCACCAGCAACTAGAGCCGCGTCTTTATGGAGAGAATACTACAAGCAAATCCAGATTTCAGCGTTTGCAGATGAGAACAGCTCTCAGGTAAACAATAATCCTCCTTAGACACGCAAGTTATTGTTGTCGAGCGTCGCGTACACTGTTAATCCACACGTGACTCAGAGCTCTCACAGAGAGAAAATGAAAACGAAACTTAACAGCAGCAAACTATAAAAGCAACACTTCACGCTTGTTTTGCCAACACAACGTGGCGTCTTTGTGGTGTAAACACGGTGACAATAATGAATATTAATGAAGTTGCACAATAGAGCGCGGTGATTGGTTTGACCCAAGCCTTACTCATGCATTAATGCAGCACACTGTAAGACGTAATAAGACACACTCTGGCACAGACGTCCAGTCTGCACGCTGGAATACAACGCTATTATGTCATGGCCGTGACGCAGCTTCAACAATTCGTTTCAAACAGGAAGTACAAATTTGCTTGAAATAACGCAAAAACAACCAATTTACACTTTTTAGTGAAATATAGGTGTCCTAATAGTGTTTTTAGCAGTGTGGGACACATATACGACTGTCAACAGCTCAAAAAATGTGTTTTGGTGTTTCGTGACCCTTTAAGCACAAAACTAGCAATGTGAGCTAACAACATCAATATGGGTTAGATTTGATTTCATGTGTACTGTAATGCTGTGTTCACACCAGACGCGGAAGGCTCGTCAAGCGCGTGTGATCTACAATGCAAACGCACAAATAGACATCCTGCGGCATGATATGTGCGATCGATGTGAATTGCGCGGCGTTAACCAATCAGGAGCTTGCTCTTGTAGGAGGGATCTTGTGATGTAGGGCCTGCCTGGAGGAAATCCTCCAGCCGACACCAACAACAGTTCATCAAACTCAGCTCAGCTCAGCTCAGTCGAAGCACCGCTGAAAGCCTCCATCATCCAGGTTCAGTTTCTGGAGGAGTTTCTGAGCTCACAGAGCTGGATGCACCTCTGAAAGGATCTATTAGACCCAGACACGGCCCTAAACGTATCAGCACTGTTTTTCAGCCTTCATAAAAGCACATAAACACTGTTATTTTCGTAATAAAACCCATGTTAACCATTTAGCAACGAAGCTAGAGTCCCCGGGCAGACAGAAGCCCTGCCCATCACGCGAATCCGCGTCTGCTCTGAAGAGAATTTAACGCACGAATGAAGCGAGTAAACTCAAATGTTCACTCGGCTATAAGGTGAACACAGCATAAGGCATGATTTTTTTCTTAACTGGCAGAAATGGGTTTCCATAGGGTGCGTTAACAATGGCATCATTTTAGATTGTGAACGGTCGCTTTGAGGCTTGATCGCTCTCACTCACTCAGTATTCCTCTTCTCCTGTTCTTTCCTCTTCTCCGTGTCCTTCTTCTCGTCCTCCGCTGGTTGCTTCAGCCTGTGGTTCCTTTCTTTCCGTGGCTCCTTAGTCTCTGTTGTTTGCTCAGAGCCACTCGGAGTCTTCCCTCTGGTGGACGTGACCAAACCCTGCAGAGACTTCAGCACACTCTGCCTCTTCTCTGCCAGGATCTTACACCTCTGCACACACACACACAAACACAAGCATTGATTTTAATGACATATTCAGCTTGTACCGCGGTGGTTGCCTGATTGTTGGTGTTATAAAATTCATGACATTTATAACTGCTTCATGACAACCATGTAACCATGCTTGGTAACATCAACTTATCATGACAAACACACCGAGAGGTTATGAGGCATTTAAGTCAAGTTGTCATGAAAACGTCATCTTTGCATCTAAAATACCATAACTGAGCTAATCACACTTAATATCAGTTGTTATAAGCATGCATTAAGTCTCGTTCAGTATCGTGAGAATATCCCATACCATGATAGAACATGTAATCACAACATGAACACGTGATGCTGTCAGAACCATCATCTCTCACCTCTTCATCTCTGGGTTTCTTCTCCTCTTGTGTCTCATCAGAGGATACAGGAGCGCAACTCTTCGTCTGTTTGGGTTTAGTCATCGTCTCTCTCCGTTCTTCTACGTTAATCTCTTTCCTCTTCTCCGGCAACTTGTTCTTTTCTGCCTTGTTTTTCTCCACCGCATCCTTTTCTGCATCACTCTTGACAGACTCGTTCCTTCTTGCCTCTTTCAGTTCAGACTCTTTCCTTCTTGCCTCTTTCAGTTCAGAGTCACTCCTTCTTGCCTCTTTTTCAGACTTGTTCTTTCTTGCCTCTTTCTTTTCAGACTCGATCCTCCTTTCCTCTTTCTTTTCAGACTCGTTCCTTCTTGCCTCTTTCAGTTCAGACTCTTTCCTTCTTGCCTCTTTCAGTTCAGAGTCACTCCTTCTTGCCTCTTTTTCAGACTTGTTCTTTCTTGCCTCTTTCTTTTCAGACTCGATCCTCCTTTCCTCTTTCTTTTCAGACTCGTTCCTTCTTCCCTCATTCTTTTCAGACTCGTTCCTTCTTGCCTCTTTCTTTTCGGACTCGCTCCTTGCCTCTTTCTTTTCAGACTCGTTCCTTCTTGCCTCTTTCTTTTCAGACTCGTTCCTTCTTGCATCTTTCTTTTCAGACTCGTTCCTTCTTGCCTCTTTCTTTTCGAACTCGCTCCTTCTTGCCTTTTCAGACTCGCTCATTCTTGCCTCTTTCTTTTCGAACTCGCTCCTCCTTGCCTCTTTCTTTTCGAACTCGCTCCTCCTTGCCTCTTTCTTTTCAGACTCGTTCCTTTTTGCCTCTTTCTTATCAGACTCGCTCATTCTTGCCTCTTTCTTTTCGAACTCGCTCCTCCTTGCCTCTTTCTTTTCGAACTCGCTCCTTCTTGCCTCTTTCTTTTCGGACTCGCTTCTTCTTGCCTCTTTCTTTTTGGACTCGCTCCTTGGCTCTTTCTTTTCAGACTCGCTCCTTCTTGTCTCTTTCTTTTCAGACTCCCTCCTTCTTGTCTCTTTCTTTTCAGACTCCCTCCATCTTGGTTCTCTCTTTTCAGACTCGTTCCTTCTTGTCTCTCTCTTTTCAGACTCGCTCCTTGTCTCTCTCTTTTCAGACTCGTTCCTTCTTGCCTCTTTCTTTTCAGACTCGCTCCTTCTGTTCTCTCTCTTTTCAGACTCGCTCCGTCTTGCCTCTTTCTTTTCAGACTCGCTCTGTCTTGCCTCTTTCTTTTCGGACTCGCTCCTTCTTGCCCCTTTCTTTTCAGACTCGTTCCCTCTTGCCTCTTTATTTTCTGACTCACTCTTCTTTGCCTCTTTCCTTTCGGACTCACTCTTTCTCTCCAATTTCCTTTCTGCCTCTTTTTTTTCGGACTCGCTCTTTCTTACCTCTTTCTTTTCTGACTCAGTCTTTCTAGTCTCGACCCTCTCTGCCTCTTTCTTTTCAGACTCACTCTTTCTTGCTTCTTTCTTTTCGGACTCGTTCTTCCTTGCCTGTTTCATTTCAGAATCAATCTTTTTTGCCTCTTTCTTTTCGGACTCGATATTTCTTGCCTCTCTCTTTTCAGACTCTTTAATTTCAGACTGACTCTTTGTCTCTCTCTTCTCAGACTCGTTCCTTATTGCCCTTTTTTCAGACTCATTCTTTCTGGCCTCTTTCATTTCAGACTCGTTCTTTCTTGTCTCTCTCTTCTCAGACTCGTCCCTCTTTGACTCTTTTTCAGACTCATTCTTTTTGGCCTCTATTATTTCAGAGTCTGTCTTTCGTGCCTCTTTCATTTCAGACTCGCTCTTTCTTGTCTCTCTTTTTTCAGACTCGTTATTTTTGGTCTCTATTTCAAACTCATTCTGTCTTGTCTCTCTCTTTTCAGAGTCGTTATCTTTTGCCACTTTAATTTCAGACTCATTCTTTCTTGCCTCTTTCATATCAGACTCGCTCTTTCTAGTCTCTCGCTTTCTGGCCTCTTCCTTTTCTGACTCGTTCTTTCTTGCCTCTTTTATTTCAGACTCACTCTTTCCTGCCTCTCTCTTTTCAGACTCTTTATTTTTTGCCTCTATTTCAGACTCATTCTTTGTTGTCTCTCTCTTTTCAGAGTCGTTATCTTTTGCCACTTTAATTTCAGACTCGCTCTTTCTTGTCTCTTTCCTTTTTGCCTCTTTCATATCAGACTCGCTCTTTCTAGTCTCTCTCTTTCTGGCCTCTTTCTTTTCTGACTCATTCTTTCTTGCCTCTTTCATTTCAGACTCGCTCTTTCCTGCCTCTCTCTTTTCAGACTCGTTATTTTTTGCCTCCATTTCAGAATCACTCTTTCTTGTCTCTCTCTTTTCAGAATTGCTTCTTATTGCCTCTATTTCGGACTCGTTCTTTCTTGCCTCTTTAATTTCAGCCTCGCTATTTTTAGTCTCTCTCCTTTCAGACTCACTCTTTCTGGCCTCTTTCATTTCAGACTCATTCTTTCTTGCCTCTATCATTTCAGACTCGCTCTTTCTTGTCTCTCTCTTTTCAGACTCACTCTTTCTGGCCTCTTTCATTTCAGACTCGTTTTTTCTTGCCTCTTTCATTTCAGACTCGCTCTTTCTTGTCTCTCTCTTTTCAGACTCACTCTTTCTGGCCTCTTGCTTTTTGGACTCGTTCTTTCTTGCCTCTTTCATTTCAGACTCGCTCTTTCGTGTCTCTCTCTTTTCAGACTCTTTATTTTTTGCCACTAAAACTTCAGACTCACTCTTTCTTGTCTCTATCCTTTCTGCCTCTTTCTTTTCAGAATCGTTCTTACATGGCTCTTTGCTTTCTGCTTCACTATTTCTTGCCTCTTTCCTTTCTGTCTCAATCTTTTTTGTCTCTTTCTTTTCAGACTTCTCCTTTTCTGCATCACTCTTTTCAGACTCTTTCTTTTTTGCCCCTTTGTTTTCGGTCTCATTTTCTGCAACAATCTTTTCAGCCTGATTCTTCTTCTCCATCATCTTGTTCTTGTCAGCATTGCTCTTCTCTACCTCATTCTGCTTCTCAATCTTTTGCTCCACTTCATTTTTCTCCTTTGATTGAGCCTCATTCTCCTTCAGCTCTTTCTCATCATCCTTACTCTTCTTCTCAGGTTCTGTGAGGCGTCTTCTCTTCGAGCCTGCACATTGAGTAGATATAATAAGCTAAGAAGCTTTGTATGATAATATTGCCCATATATGGTATACACAGCTATGAGTATAATTTAATTTTAAGCTTTAAAACACTTACAAAACAATGTCAGGATTGTATAATAAACAACTGTAATTAAATGTAAATGTAAGCTTCAGTTCACCTGTCGGAGTGGAAGAGGCAGAGATGTCTGTCGCTGGAATAGAAATAGGAGCGTCTCCCTTTACTTCAGAATCGTTTTGCTTGCGTTTGCGTTTGAGAGCTAGCGGCTTCGCAGTGACATCATCAGTGGCCTCGATGGGATCTGCAGTCGAGCGTGTAATTCTTGAGGGCTGAAATATCACAACACAACAATAACAACATCAACACATCATATTCTGGCATAAAGCCGGAGTCTGTACCATGATGCTGGATAAACAAACTCAGAATTACATTAGCCTAAATATCTCAAAAATAACCCTGACCACTTGGCATGTTCTAGCACAAATTAAGTCCTGCTTGACCCTAACCAGTACATAACCAAAACATAGCTTATATATAGCTTCAAAATCATCTGACCATAACATGAACATAACCAGAACATAGCCTAAATGTAGCTTCAAAATAATCTGACCATAATCGTAACACAAGTCTAAATATAGCTTCAAAATAATCGGACATTAATCTGAGCATACCCTGAACATAGCCTTAACATAGCTTTAAAATAATCTGACCTTAACCTTAACATAACCAAAACATAGCTTTAAAATTATTTGACCATAGCATGAACATAACCAAAACATAGCTTAAATAGAGCTTCAAAATAATCTGACCATAACCTAAACATAACCAAAGCAAAGTCCATATAGCCTCAAAATTATCTGACCATAACCTGAACATAGCCAGCACATAGCCTAAACATTGCTCCAAAATAATCTGACCATAACCCAACATAACCAAAAAATACCTTTAAAATAATATGACCATAGCATGAACATAACCAAAACATAGCTTGCTTAAAGCTTTCAAATAATCTAACCATAACATGAACATAACCAAAACATAGCCTTATAAATATAGTTTCAAAATAATCTGGCCATAACATAAACATAACCAGAGCAATGCCTAAATATAGCCTCAAAATAATCTGACCGAAACCTGAACATAACTAAAACATAGCTTCAAAATCATCTGGCCATAACATGAACATAGCCAGAACATAGCTCCAAAACAATCTGACCATAACCTGATCATAGCGAAATATAGCTTCAAAATGATCTGACCATAACATGAACATAACCAGAACATAGCTCCAAAATAATCTGGCCATAACATGAGCATTGCCAGAACACAGACTAAATATAGCTACAAAATAATCTGACCATAACATGAACATAACCAGAACACAGACTAAATATAGCTACAAAATAATCTGACCATAACATGAACATAGCCTAAATATAGCTTCAAAATAATCAGAGCATAACATGAACATAACCAGAACATAGCCTAAATGTATCTTCAAAATAATCTGAGCATAACATGAACATAGCCTAAATCTAACTTCAAAATAATCTGAGCAAAACATGAACATAACCAGAACATAGCCTAAATGTATCTTTAAATTAATATGACCATAATCTGAACATAACCAGAAAATAGCCTCGATATAACTTCAAAATAATCTGACCATAACACGAACATAGCCAGAACATAGCCTAAATGTATCTTCAAAATAATCTGAGCATAACATGAACATAACCAGAACATAGCCTAAATGTATCTTTAAATTAATATGACCATAATCTGAACATAACCAGAAAATAGCCTCGATATAACTTCAAAATAATCTGACCATAACACGAACATAGCCAGAACATAGCCTAAATGTATCTTCAAAATAATCTGACCATAACATGAGCATAGCCTAAATCTAACTTCAAAATAATCTGAGCATAACATGAACATAACCAGAACATAGTCTAAATGTATCTTTAAATTAATATGACCATAATCTGAACATAACCAGAACATAGCCTAAATGTATCTTTAAATTAATATGACCATAATCTGAACATAACCAGAACATAGCCTAAATGTATCTTTAAATTAATATGACCATAATCTGAACATAACCAGAAAATAGCCTCAATATAACTTCAAAAAAATCTGACCATAACACGAACATAGCCAGAACATAGCCTAAAAAGCAAGCTACAAAATTATTGATCATAGCACGAACATAATAATAACATAGCCTAAATGTAGCTTCAAAATAATCTGACCATAACCGAAACATAGCCAGAACACAGCCTAAATATAGTTTTAAAAAATCTGACCATAACATGACAATAATCATCATAAATAATCAATAATATCCTAAATAAAGCTTTACAATAATCTGACCATATTCTGAACATAGCTTAAATACAGCTTCAAAATAATCTGACCATGATCTGAACGCAGGTTAACCATGAGTAAAAAAAAAAAAAATAATAATAATGCAGAGCTTCATTCAAGTTACCAAAAACTCAGGATTGGTGCAAACCATACCAACGCTACCCAGCTACATGGTACAGGCATCAGGTAAAGTTTTATTAATCTCAACACACAACAGAGAATGACAGCAAACCTTTCTGTGATTAACAGCATCAATCCTTTTCTTGGCCGTGGAGATGATCTTCCTATTCAGCACGTGTTTCCTGTGAGCAGAAAGAGTCTTAGCTGCATCCATCCGTCTTGCTAATATGACGCTGGATGGCAGACGTCTCCACCCGGTTGTGATCGTCTTCACCGATGTCATTTTTCTGGCAGGCACAACTTTGTCTGTCCGTCTTTTATCTGTGCTGGTCTTCGCTGATGAATCTCTGGAGCGTGTCGGCCGTGTTTCGGTGTTCTTGTCATCTTTCAGTGTGACAGATTCAGACTTTGTTTCTCTCTTATGTGGCGTCGCTGCTTTTGAATCGCTATTCGACACTGGATCTTTAGCTGATTTTGGGGGTTTCTTCACTTCAGTCTGATTTTCTGCTTTCTTCTTCTTCTTGTTTTTCCACTTTAGTCGACTCTCTGACAGCCGTTTCACTAGCGCTGCTTTCTGTCACAAAACACACACAATAATCTAAAAATAACAATCATCTTATATCCTGATTAGGGCAGTATAATATATTATTTGAGCATCGATATCACAGTATGTATTTCAGCAATAGTCAGCAGTGCTCGACAATAAGGACTGCCCGATGACTCGGAGCCAGTGTGCAAGACGCTCAGGATAGCAGACAGCATCAGTTTGGCTGTGGCCCTGTTTACACTAGTGCGTTTTAGTTTTAAAACGCATAAGTTTTGCTACGGTTACACTATCCTTCCACACTACACCAGAGATCTCGAGCGCCGAAAACAAAGCGTTTTGAAAACGCTGGAGAGGCCGTGTTCATTCTGAAGTGCTGCTGCTCTGTCTCAGTGTGGATGGGGGAAAACGGAGACATCTGAAAACGGAGGCGGGGCTGCTGAGATTCGCTTCCTGATTGGGGCGTTTGTGTCATTGTGTATCCTTCCCTTATTCGTCAAGCCCCTATCACATGACTTTAACACATGGCTTTAACGCTACCAGAAGACAGTACTGTAAACAACAACATGGGCACAGAAATGAGAGCGTTGTTTGCACTATTGTCTGTTTTAGGCGGCATTGTGCAGTTATTCATTTGTTGCGTTTAGTAAATCGACCTCGTCGTCTGTCCACAAAAATGTATCTCTTGCTTTCTTTGCCGTCGCGTGTAATGTTCAACCGGTGTTTGTTGACTAACAATAACCAAATGCCGAGCGAGACGCATGCTTTCAGTTTATACTAGAACGCGCATGCCCAGAGTGCGCGAATGGTCACGTGATATACGTTTTTGGTGGCGTAGTGTGGACGGAGATATGTTCAGAGACGCTAGGTGAAACGCTAGTGTGGAAGCGGATAGTTTTTTTTATCTAAATGTTATCCGATGGCCAGAAAGTCATTCATTTTTTATAAATTGTTAAATTTTTGGTATTTGTTATGCAGCAAGCCCAGAGATTGTTGTGTACACTATGATTTTATATAAAATTAACTTTAATGTGTGATAGGAATAAAACGTGATCATAAACAAATAATTTCTCCACTCAAATGAATGGTGGCTTAGACCCGGAAACAGTATTACATACGTCATCACTTAACAAGCGGATAATTCTATCTTCTCTCTATAAAGCCTATAATGCAGAATTCTAGCCAACGGTTTTTTTTAACAGATGGATTAATTCAATAGATAACTCAATTTAATAACTCATCTCTAATAACTGATTAATTTTATCTTTGCCGTGATGACAGTAATGGCCCGTTTCCCCTAAGTGGCATGGTTCGGTATGCTTTTATGGTCGTTTCCACTATCAAAAGGCGTACCGAACCGTACCGTACCACTTTTTCGGCACCCTTTCGAAAGGGTACCAAACTTGAGAAAGGGTACCAAAAGGCGAAGCTAGACATGCAGCTGAACGCTATTGGTTTACAGAGATTCGTCATTCGCTTGCGCAACAAGCCAGAATGAAAACAAAAGAGCCGCCATGAGAACGCTTTTGCTTTTTTCCTTGCGCTCATCGCTCGTCTATATCTGAAATAGCAAACTTCTTGAGCTGATGATAAAAACGTGCGCTTGATTATTGACATGCTTTTGAAAACTGATCCTGTGAGGAGCAGACAAACGGGAGAATGACACATACAGAAAGAAAAGGAAAAACGCGAGTGAGGCGTGGAAAATAGGAGAAGCCGGGAAAATAGAAGCACTTTTTTTTCCAGCAAACGTGAACACACTGTCTTGTTGAACAATTATCTTCACCTTTTGGACTATGATTAACTTAGAAAGATAGAATTGCTCTCTAAAAGAGGCTACATGTGCTGCTGAAGATTACAGACACAGATGAGAGGTCTGCTCTGACTGTGGGCTATATTTCCTATTGTTTTTTTAACCTAAATAAGCACTAAATGTCTGCTGTGTGTAGTTCTTCTGTAATTGGTAACATATGGGAGACTGTAAGGGTCTGTATGTGTTCATATATGTTCATTCATTTATTTATTTACTTAATATAATTACAGTTGTTACAGTAGGCTGTTTCGCTGTCATTGATCTGCAGTTGTAATCAAATCTTGTTCATAGAAAAGTTACTAATTTATACATTTACACAGAAGTATGTGTATAAAGCGTCTGTTTTGTGAGAAGTGCTTCTCATATGATATGCAAGTAGACATTTTCTCGAGCGAGAAAGATGCGACCGAAACTTGATATAGAATTATATATATATATATATATATATATATATATATATATATATATATATATATATATAAAATAATTTGGATAGAATACGTAAAATTATATATATAATATATATTATAATATAAATATAACTTATATAGAATGTATTTGTGTATATATAATTTTTATATATTTATACATAATTTATACAATATATGTAAACAAATATTTGATATAATATAATCATGAATACATTTATATACACAGTATGCACAAATATATTTTGTAAATATGACATTTTATTTTGGGCGCGATTAATCATTTGACACCACTACTAAACTTACACACTGACCTTTTGACCTCTGAGTCCCACACCCGGGTCATTCTCAATCTCCCACATGCCCTCCTCGAAGCCGCCCCGTTTGTTGGCCTGGGCATATTTCTGCTTGTTCGGCCAGTAGTGGACGATGTCCTTGGGGAATAGAAACGTTCTGGAAGAAAAACAACATGATAGTTGTTTTTAAAACTCCTAATTTCAAGATTTAAAGTACATGTTGAATATTAAGGTGCATATTTAAGAGTACAGCAATCATAAGGAACCACCTGATTAATAGTAAACAACCCAATATGTAATATTAACAAATGCCTTAAACATGACTTCATCACATTGTGTATGATGTAAATAAATAGTACAGTTTTGGAGTTAAAATTTACACTTCAATAACAACATTAAATGCATTTAAAATACTGAATACATTTAATCAGTTTATGTTTTATTAAGAAATAAAACAAGAACATTACTGTATAAAGGGCTGGATAATATTGCAAACAATTTTACCTCATAAATTGTTGTAGCATATTAAGTGATAATGATGTATATACTTTGTTAAGAGTATTTTTCTTTGTTAAACACAAATCAAGATATTTTGAAGAATGCTGAAAACCTGTAACCATTTACCTAAACATCAGGTAAAACAAATAAAGTTACAGGTTCCCGGCTTCCTTCCAAATATATTAGTGTTTAACAGAAGAAAAAACTCTTACTGGTTTGGAACAAGTCAAAAGTGAAGAAATTATTACAGAATTTTCATTTTTGGGTAAACGATCGCTTTAATGCAGTGTTTCTCAACCACGTTCCTGGAGGACCACCAGTTCTGCACATTTTCTCATTTGCTGCGTCCCAATCCGCATACTACGTGTCCTAAATAGTATTTTAAAATAGAATTAGTATGTCCCAAACAATAGTATGTTGAAAAGAGTATGCCAGAGGTTCTCGGATGGTACAAAACGTTAGTGTAGAAGCGTCCATACTCTAACCGCCGATATTGCCCACAATACATTGCCTATTGGATGTAAATAAGATTAGAACTACATACGCGCGTGAAAGGTGTATATAAACTACAAACATGATGGACGCGCGAGACCAACTGTCAAGTAGAGGCTTCAGTAAAGATGTTTGAATGACTATCAGTCAATATCTAGCCCACTGGAGAATATTTAAATGGCATTATCTGTGTTATATTTCATCTGCAACAACAATACTGAACTTATATAAAGACACATTTGTACGTCTGAATGCAGAATTATCCAAAGACCTGAGGAGATTTCTCTGCATGAAAGACTCGTGGATGGGAGATTAACCTGCTGCTGTTCTCCAGTAAGGTAGGAAATTAAATACAACAGAAATGTGGATTGTGTATGGATGATTGACAGGGGGCATAACTAAGCAACACAACGATCTGTTAAAGAGGAAGTAGTACGTCCCAAAGCTTGCATACTCTTCTGTTGCACACTCAAAAGTACTATTCTATCATACAAATGTTCATACTTTTTGGGCGTAGTACAAGTATGTGAATTGGGACGCAGGAATTGTCTCCTCAACCAAACACAAGCAGAGACTGAAACCTGTAATGGTCGTGACAGACAACGGAAACATCCAAAACATGCAGTGTTGGTGGTTCTCCAGAAACGTGGTTGAGAAACACTGCTTTAACCCAATGTTTTGCAATACATGTTTGATTTGAGTTTACTCACGTTGAGTGTGTCCCATAAAAAAAGATGGGGATCTTATTTTTGGGGGCTTTTCCTTCTGCAATCTGAGAGACAAAACAATAACAGCAAGAAAAACAGTTAGATATGATGGATGTAACATCTGATATGTGACTATACACTGCAGGATATGTCATTCAACACAATGAAACACTACAGAAACTCACCCTGGCAGGCCAGAAAGGATAACCTTTCATCTTCGCAAACACAACATCACCTGGAGTAAAATCATCTGTGGTCTGATCAGATTTCATCTTCATAAAAACAAATGAAATACAGTGTTTATTAATACAAACAAACACTCAGCATCGCCCACTAATACACAACAACAATAACAACATGCTAACACTTCAGCAGCAGACACACACAAAGCTCAAAAATTCCCCGTATAGTCAAGAATTTGCAAATAGTATGATATTAATCTCATTTGATTTAATTGCCGTCGACAGTAACGTAACGTAAATAAATACAATGATAACTTAGCCTTGTTTGGCTAGCTTAGGCTAACTCATGTCCACTGTGTGTACAGTGACTCACCTTTACTCCTTTCTGCATATCAGTTTAGAGCAAAAATACCATTTTAATAAACACTGCAGTTTAAAAATCAGAAAACACAAGAATTAAAATTATTTTCACGCTCTGAATGAACGGACATGTAGACGTGCACGAGTGAGTGTCTCCCCTTAGCGCCGGTGAAATAGTTCAGTCCGTCTCCCGCTCAGTTTGACATAGGAGTGTACCACAGCATAGAGAGAGGGGGGTTGGGTTTGTATTTATTGATGATAAAATAAATAACAAGAGTTTTCTTCATCATTTCAACGCTCACTTACCACACATTATGTGTTATATTTAACTACACATGATTTTACAATGATTTTCACAGAGTGAAAAATAAAATTACGTCAATGATTGTGAACGTCGGTCGGTAAATGGTTAAATATTCCTCTGAGGGGGGAAGCGGCAAAATAAGTGTTTGAAATGTTTTGTCGTTTAGTTAATTTATTAATTAAACATGCTGGAGAAAATGTATTTAAAAAATAATAATCCGCGATAACTTTCTTGATCAGTGTTTCGCGGTATTTTCGCTTGCCGTTGTTGTCATGGTGAGGAGGAAATATGGCGTCAGATTCTAACAGACAGACGCCGAAACTCTTCACAACTCCACGGATTTATACATACTAATGCTGTTTAACGACAAAATTTTATAATAAACACAGATATTATAGCATGATATGTCTGTTAAGGGTGAGTTTGTGTTTTGTTTTATAAGTCATTGTTTCGAACTGACCGTTCGTCACTGCTAGAAACTAGTTTCATTCAGATCTCTGAGATTTTACTATACGCTAGTAACGTTAGCTTTTAGGTGTTATTTCTTTATTTTATTTGAGAAATTACTCTGTTTTTTCATATATATAGCCATATAGTTATATTTAAATGCAACTTTAAACTGTTTATGGTTGTCATTTTAATATATGGTATCATTTGCTGTTTTAATCATGTATATCCATCGTTCTGTCTTAATTTATAGTTGGCAAAACCATCAGAAACACTAATGTATACGTTACCGTTATAAGTTAGACGTTTGTCGTGTTTTTGGGTAAGACACCGCTTATAAATAGCGTGAAAATAAGCAATACTAATATCATACTAGTACTACTAGCAACTAATATCCCACCAACTTTAATGAAAATATTAACATTTGTTTGTTTGTTTATTACACGGGCTTGTTCTTGACTTTTTATTAGACTGGTGGAAAAATTCAAACCTATTCCTAAACATTTCTAAAAACTAAGCAGATGGTTATTGATTTTAGAGAGAGAACACAAAGCAAAACTCATCCCACATTTATTAATTGGGAGCAAATTCGGTTAGTTACAACTATAACGTTAAATATTTGGTTTAAAATAAGAATTTTAACACTGTAAATCCAAATACAGTTTTTGAGTTTTTAGTAATAAATAAATTGTAAAACCATTAGTATAATCTGTCTCTAGCTCAGTTGAAGTCATAATTATTCGCCCCCCTTTAAATTTTCTTTTTCCAAACATTTCCCAAATGATGTTGAACAGATTCAGGGAATTTTCACAGTATTTCCTCTAATATTTGTTCTTCTGGAGAAAGTCTTATTTGTTTTATTTTGTCTAGAATAAAAGCAGTTTTTAATTGTTTTAAACTCATTTTCAGGTCAATATTATTCGCCCCTTCAGCAATATTAGTGTTGGATTGTCTCCAGAACAAACCACTGTTATACAATGACTTGCCTAATTACCCTAACTTTACCCTAATTACCCTAGTGAAGCCTTTACATGTCACTTTAAACTGAATACTAGTGTCTTGAAGAATGTCTAGTCTAACATTATGTGCTGTCATCAAGGCAAAGAGAAAATAAATCAGTTATTAGAGATGAGTTATTAACACTATTATGATAAATTGGGAAAAAAATATACAGGAGGTCTAAAATAAACTGTACTGAGAGTTAAACTGTACATTTTTTTCATCATGAAAATGGTCATGGAAACTGACATAGCAAATAACTGTTCATGTACAGCGTCTCTGTTGTTTTTGCAGATTTGGGAACTGTGACCTCACTCTGACCTCATGCCCACTCAGCCTCCCGCCGCCGTCTGTCCACATCATGGCGCTCGAGCCAAACGTAAAGACCCGGTTTCCAGCATTCGAGCAGCTCGTCCGCAAACCGTGACCCCGTCTGCGCAAAACACAGAAGAGGACATTAGCAGGTTCGTCTTAGTGTTTCTGACACGCTTCTCTCACATGCATGCACTAGAGCTGGCCAATATTACAAAAATCTCTAAACATCATATACAGCTGAAAGCAGAAGTTTACATACACTGTATAAAAGGCACATAACCATTTAAATAAAGTCAGATGTTAACGTGACTAAACCTTTTCTCCTTTAGGTCAGTTAGGATGATCACGTGTTTCTGTTCTGCTTAACAGCAGAATAATGAGAGAGAGATTGTTTGAGAACATTTGAGAACTTTTCTTGTTAGTCAAGTTTACACACAATAAGATTATTCTGCCTCTGGAAAAGCTCTGATGATGATGTCACGGTTTTGGAAGTTTCTGATTGGCTAACTAACAACATTTGAGTTAATGTGAGGCACAACTGTAGAATAGTATTGAAGGAAGAGCTCAAACACACTGCTTCCTTCTGTGACAACATGGAGAATCAACAAGCCACAATCAACAACAAAGCCAGATTACAATTAGCTAAACTATACTGGGGAAAGACTGATGTTTGGAGACATGTCCTGCGCTCTGATGGAGCTAAGATTGAACTGTTTGGCCATAATGAGCAGTGTTACATTTGGAGGACAAAGAGGAAAGCGCACAAGCCTAGAACACCATCCCAACTGTGCAGTATGGGGGCGGCAGCATCATGTTGTGGGGCTGTTTTGCTGCAGGAGGGACTGGTCCACTTCACAGCATAGATGGCATCATGAAGACAGAACATTAAGGAGAAATACTGAAGCAACATCTCAACACATCAGCCAGGACATTACAACTTGACCACAAATGGCTCTTCCAAACAGACCATGACCCTAAGCACACTGCCAAATTGATTTAAATGTGCTTTTAGGACAACAGAGTGAATGTTTTGGAGTGGCCATCACAAAGCCCTGATCTCAATCCTATATAGAATGTGTGGGCAGAGTTGAAAAAGCTTGTGTGAGCGAGACAGCCTACAAATCTGACTCAGTTACAGCAATTCTGCAGGAGGAATGGGCCAAAACTCCTGCAAACTATTGTGAGAAGCTTGTGGAAGGAGACCCAAAACATCTGACCAAAGTTACACAGTTTAAAAGCAAAGCTAAAAAATACCAAGAAAATGCGTGTAAACTTCTGACTGTCTAGAAATTAATAAAAAATTATTAAAAAAATTATAATTCTCTCATTATTCTGGCATTTAGCAAATGTAAATCATTTAAGTAATCCTAATGGACCTAAAATAATAAACGTTTAGTCTGATTTACCATCAGACATTTAAAAAACAAATGGTTTTGTGCCTTTATTAGAGTGTATGTCAACCTCTGGGTTCAACTGTTGGTCATTTCTGCTGAAGACAACATTATTAGCCCTCCTGTAAAATTTTTAATTCTTTTAAAATATTTCCCAGGTGTTGTTTAATGGAAAGAGGATTTTTTTCTTAGCACATTTCTAATCATAATAGTGTTAATAACTCATCTCTAATAACTGATTTATTTTCTCTTTATCATGATGACAGTAATTAATGTTAGACTAGATATTCTTCAGGACACTAGCATTCAGCTTAAAGTGACATGTAAAGGCTTCACTAGGGTAATTAGGGTAACGTTAGGGTAATTAGGCAAGTCAGTGTATAACAGTGGTTTGTTCTGGAGACAATCCAACACTAATATTGCTGAAGGGGCGAATAATATTGACCTTAAAATGGCTTTAAAACAATTAAAAACTGCTTTTATTCTAGCCAAAATAAAATAAAACAAATAATACTTTCTCCAGAAGAACAAATATTAGAGAAAATACTATGTAATGTAAAGTTTCTGAATCTGTTCAACATCATTTGGGAAATATTTGAAGAAGGAGGGTGAATAATTCATTTTAAACTGTATGTATCAGGCTGAGAGGTGTGATGGAGCATCTGCAGACAGGCAGACGGGTCAGTGAGAGGGAGACGGGTGATGAGTTCAATCTTACTGCTGAGCTGAGGTGGAGAATTAACCAGCTGGAGAAGGAGAAACTGGACTGCACCTCCAAACACAATGAACAGGTGTGTCAGACTCACACACACACACACACACGCACACACACACACACACACACACACACACACACACACACACACACATAAACAACAGGTGTGTCAGACTCGCACACACAAACATACACTGGCAGATTTTATTCAAGCTGTACCTTGGTCATGTTATGGGCTGTTTACATATTAAAACACAAGGAAAGCTCGGGGCACGTCACTGTTATTACGGAAATGTGTATACTTTGTCTTGGACCCTAGGGCTACATTTGCATACACTGAACAAAACAGACAACACAAATCAACACAATCAACACATATATCATAAATTATATATTTAACAGTCTAACTGATGTAGGTAAAAACGATTTCTTAAGACAATTGTACGTATGTGTACACAGGCAGCCGATATCGTTTTCCAGAGGGCAGTGACTCGCACTCATAAAATAAACTATGCAAGGCTCAGCTAATATTTTAATAGCTACGTCAAGAACTGATTGCTCATAGAAAGATTCTAAGTATTGATATTCCCTTTTTCCTGTGTGTTAAAACAATGAACTTGTGCAAACTTGTGTGCAAAAAAATGAGATGCGAACAGCCCCTAATACCTGCTAAATCAATTAATTGATATATTATTATTTTTTTATTATTAGTAGTATTACGTAATAAAAAATAGCAAATAAGTTAAAAGTATACCTCAATTTTAACAGTCTACCTAATTCAGTATATTTTATATTGAATTAAATCAAATTAAAATGATTTACAATTAGTTACAATTAATTATATTTTAGTATTAATAGAAATGCATTATATATATATATATATATATATATATATATATATATATATATATATATATATATATATATATATATATTAGTGCTGTCAATCGATTAAAAAAAGTGACTAATTAATCACACCTTTTTTTTTGCAATTAATCGTGATTAATCAACGATTAAAATATGAACCAAAGTACAGACATTGCAAATATGGA